TTATTGCAGCGTTAATTTAGCTGTCAGCCTTTCAATGCTCAATAGTTAGACGACAATGCTAATATTATTTGCTTCAACAATCAAATTTAATGACTCTGTCCAACGCTCAGTTGCTTTATATATAAAGGATATGGTGTTTAGGGTAGAAGCACAAGCAGAACCGGCAAATATAAACTTTGCCGAGAGAAAGAAAAGGAAGAAGAAGAAAAGAAGATAAAGGCTCAAACATATTTCGTGAGGTAATTTTTTTATTGTTTAATTTAGTTTAATATATGAAATTATTAGTTTGTTAGTTTCGGGTTTAGGGTAAAATTAAAATCTAGTTAATTAGTTTGTTAGTATAAATTATTAGTTTGTTAGTTTAAGTTATATATTAGTTTATTAGTTTAAGTTATATATTATTATATAAAAATTAGTTAATTAGTTTCTTAGTTTAAGTTATTAAATATAAAAATATTTATTAATTTGTATGTGTCTTTAAACGTATATTAGGTTGTTCGTTGAAGTTGAAGTTATATTTAAAAAAATTAATTAGTGCTTAATTAGTTTGTTATTTTAACTAAGTTATATTATAATAAAGAAATAGTTTATTAGTTTAAGGTATATTATAATATATTAGATTATATAAAATTAATTTGTGGGAGCTATTGTTGTTTAAATAAATATTTTGTTTACACATACATGACATTATTTCACAATATTTGCCCACGTACAGATTGATTCGAAGAAAGAAACAAGGCAGGAAAAAAAGTAAAGGAAGAAGGCATAAAGACGTGAGTAATTTATTATTTTTTGTTGTCCATTTTTTGTTGTTGTGTATGTGTAAATTAGTTAGTTAGTAAGTTTATATTATATTATATAAACTAATTTGTGCGAGATAATTTCCGTTTTAAAAAATATTGTGTTTAAAAATATTTAGTGTTGTTTTAAAAATAAATTGTTTAATTTACATTGTATGTGTATATTAGTAAGAAGTAAAAATTAATTGAATGAAATAATCCGGACAACGCATTATCTCGCGAAATAATTATTTCGAGAACAGTATATCGACAGTTTTGCCTAACAAATTTGTTTGATATTTTTAAAAAATAAAAAATATTATCAAACTAATCATTATTATTAGTAATAATTACTAAATGATTAGTATCAAATCAAAATCATTAAATATTTATAATAAATAATTATTAGTGATTATGACTAAATCATATTATTATTAAATCATTAAATATCAAATCATTAGATTAATAGTAATTATCAAATCATTATTAGGTTTATTAGTAAGCAATCAATCAAGTTAAATAATAAATTTTATTTGATCATTAATATAATAGTATATTATATTATATTTAATAATTTATGAAATTATCTTATCTAATTTTTTAATCTAAATTAATTTTTTTTTATTTGTAGAGAAAATGAGCAGCAACTTTTTCACGATTGTCCATTATAATGGACAGATTATGGAAAATGAGGTCGGAGTAGTTTTTCAGTCTGAAAAACCAAAATATGATGTTCAAAAAAGACATCACATTTATAGAAATGAAGCATAAGATAGAAAGAAAAATTCGAGCTGCAGTTGATGGTTTGAGGTATAGGTTTATGATATGCTCTAACCCAGTCAGATATGCTGCAGTTCCACTTGAAGAAGATGATGATATTGGAACCATGGTTGGATTACATGAGTCAACCAATATAGCAGTTATTGAATTATTTGTTGATGTGCGTAACATATGTGATGTTCCTGGGTCATCAAGAGGTGTGGCTCAAAATCCATCTGAAATGGCTTTATATAGTCAGTTTGAGGAGCCGACATACAGGTTCCCGAACAGTTTTATGGCACTATTGGAAAGTGTAAATGAAGTCGGGGGGACATCTACAGCAGCAGAGTATGAGACGAGAAACATACCGGAATTGGTTGTTGATAATGACGCTGAAAATCGATGGGGAGAAATTCATGATGATTCAAGCGAAGATGAAGAAACTGAAGAACCCGTTTTGGGCGGCGACGAAAATATTTTTGGTGGAGGTGCAATTGATGAAGTTCCGACACCGTATGAAGCTACTCCTCACATGTACGAGATAGATTATGATGCAATGAGGGCACCTGAATTCCCAGACATGCCACATTTACCTCCGTACCAAATGACTGAATCATTCGATAATTCTGGTGAATTTTCAGTTGGGGTGCAATTCAGAGGAAAAAATGAAGCTACGCTGGCGATTAAAGAGTACTGCATCAAATGCCATGTTGATGTCCATGTTGCAGAGTCCAACCAGAAAACCCTATACGCAAAGTGTGTAAAATATGGCCCAGAGTGCAAGTGGAAGATCAGAGTGTCGAAAAATCAAAGGCACGATGTTTGGGTCATCACGAGGTACAATGGTTCGCACACATGTTTGCGAAACTCCATCGAACAAGACCACCGACTATTGGACTCCGATGTAATATGTGAATACGTGAAGGCGATGGTTGAAGATCCAAGTAGATGGTACGTGGTTGTATGGTCAATATAGGCATGTACTTTTGATGGCAGTTGCTCAAGATGGTGAGCGAAATATCTTCCCAATTGCATTCGCCATTGTTGAGGGAGAGACAACAGAGGCTTGGGATTTCTTTCTGACCAATCTACGTCAATATGTCGTTCGTGAAGATGGAGTTTGCTTGATATCCGATAGAGGAACGGGTATTTTGGCGGCAATTGAACGACCAGGAAGTCGTTGGATACCCTCTGGTGGTACGGGCGCTTTCCCAAGAAACAAGTTGCAAAGTTGTTCCACCTTATTAAACTCATGTGACATTACCACCGGCATCCCATTAGTTTGGACCCCGAGTTGCATTGCTACATCCTCCAAAGTTATCGTGCATTCGCCACACGGCAAATGAAACGTGTGCGTTTCTGGTCTCCAACGTTCAATCAACGCACTGATCAAACCTGGGACCAACTTGTAATCTCGCACAAATGTTATATACCAAAATCCAGCCTCTTGCAAATTTTCTTCTATTAGTGGGTGTGGCTTGGGCACTTTATGTAGTCGAAGACGAAGGACTCGCTGCTCGTCCTCCTACAATTAAATATTTCAAAAAAATTATCACAATCATAAAATAATATTCAAATATTTATTAATTATAATTCATTAAACAAATATTTTATTCACCATTATTCCCAAATGACTTGAAATATGTTCATTGTCAAGCCTCAACAGTGGAATTTGGTCAGCCATTAGAATGAATCTGTAAAAAAATTAAACAACAATATTTAAAAAATCATTTAATATAATCTAATATAAACTAACTAACTAATTTACAACACTAAACTTTAATATAATAACATATAATATAATAAACTAATAAACTAACAAACTAAACTTTTTAAAATATAAGTTAAACGTAAACGCTAAACCCTTAAACAACTAATAAAATATTCTTTTATATAACTAAAACTAACTAATAAACTATTTTTTCATTATAATATACTATTAATAAACTTACTAACTAATTTTTTATATAATATAAATTCAACAAACAAATATAACTTAACTATTTAACTAACACAAACTAATTAAATAATTTTTTTTATATAACTAACTATTAACAATACAAACTAATTAATTATTTTTTAACTATATAACTATCAAACATATACTAATTAAATAATTTTTAATTTATGTATACTATAACTTAAACTAACAATCATATAACCCTAAACTAACAAACTAATTAACTGCTTTTTGTTTAACCCTAAACCCTAAACTAACAAATTAAACATTTATAATAATAAACTAATTTAAATATAAAAAATTTACCTTATCTCCCTTTCTTCTTCTTACTTTCCTTTCTCCCTTTCTTCCTTTCCTTTCTCCCTTTCTTTCTTTCTTTCTCGGCTGCAATCTCTTCTCCCTTTCTTCTGCAATCTCTTCTCCCTTTCTTTCTTTCTTTTATAACCGGCTGAGGCCTCAATTATTTCACCAATTGTACAATTGCAGCTGATTTCACGCGTTCAATTATTGTACCAATAATCAAATGGTTCACATGCCTCAAATGGTTCACATGCATGCATTGGGAGGTGTAGGCATGCAGCGGGGAGCACGTGAATTGGGAGGTGTAGGCAATGCAGCGGGGAGCACGTGAAGGAATCTATGTGGCTATGTGGCTGTGCATGTGCATGGATGATGGAATGGCGCCGGGACTACATGGCGACCTACAAGGTCGCCGGGACTACATGGCGACCTACAAGGTCGCCGGGACTACATGGCGACCTACAAGGTCGCCTAGGCTGCATGGCGACCTCTCTATTCCTGCATGGCTTGTATATGGCTCGTTGCATGCTCCCCATTGGCTCTCTATTCCTGCATGCTCCCCATTGGCTCGTATATGGCTCGTTGCATGCTCCCCATTGGCTCTCTATTCCTGCATGCTCCCCGTGGGCTCGTATATGGCTCGTTGCATGCTCCCCATTGGCTCTCTATTCCTGCATGCTCCCCATTGCCTCGTTGCATCCTCCCCATTGGCTCGTATGACTCGTATATGGCTCGTATATGGCTCGTATGTCACCCTCGTATGTCACCCCGTATGTCGCCAGGATTGCATGGCGTCCTCCAAGGTCGCCTGGATTGCATGGCGTCCTATGGCAATCACTGTTGAATTCACCCCATTCCAGCAATTAATCTATGATGTGCACCATATCGTGGAAAAAAAAATTCGAGAACATTATCTCGTGAATTTACCCATTTTATAATAGTTTGATAAATTTTAATGACCATTTTAACGGTTGAAAAATTAATAATCATTTTATAACTTTTGAAACTTTAAAGATTAAAATATTATTTCAACATAATTTAATAACTATTTGTGTAATTTACCCTGGATTTAAATAAAACCAGCCGACAAAAGTTCAAATCCGACACAACATTTCTGCTATTCTGTTGGCTACAAGCAGGGGAGAAAAAGAAGGAAAACCAACGAACAAAACTGTAAAACCCACTGAAAAATTGAAGACTAAGTTCACCATCCTTTTGAACAGTAACACAAAACCATGGAAGAGGAACAACAACACCGTTGTTTTCCCTTTCCCCCCAAACTCCCTTCGTCTTCATATATACTTGTTTATAGACCCAAGCCGTAGTTACCTGAACACAACAGAACCAAATCAGCGGCAGTTTATCGCATTTCTTGATGATGATTATTTCCAGGTTTCTAAGAAGAGGAATCTCAACAGCTTCCACCTGCGCCACTCGACGCTCATGGTGGGATCATGTCACTCCAGCGCCCAAGGACCCCATCATTGCAGTCACCGAGGCCTTTCTAGCTGACCCTTTTCCTTACAAGATAAATCTTGGAGTGGTATTTTCTTTTGTCTTTCACAATAGATTGTTCAATCTTTTGGGATAATACGAATAACTGTGGGTCTGGGTTTTTTTCAGGGAGCTTACAGGGATGATGAAGGGAAACCTGTTGTGCTTCAATGCGTTAGAGAAGCAGAAGGCAAGATTGCGGCTTCCAATTTCTTGTGAGTTTCATTTTCATTATGTTTCTGATTTGTGACTTTTCCCAATAATATTTCATCGTTTTTATATCTAATTCCAAACGTCTTCTTGTCTTATCTTATGTGATGCATTGGCAGGGAGTCAACGTCTACCGCAGTTAGCTCGAAATTTGTTGAGGAGAGTGCAAAATTGATTTATGGACAGGATTCGAATGTTATAAAGGAAAGGAGGTTCGCCGGAATTCCGGCTCTATCTGGAACCGGTGCTTGTCGTCTCTTTGCCGAGTTTCAGAAACGATTTTATCCGGAGTCGAGAATATATTTGCCTGATCCAACTTGGTCCAAGTAAGTTGTCTTGTTCCCTTTCATTTCATTCTGTTGTTTGGAGTTATAAGAAATGGGTTATGCAAAAGAAATTTTCAGCTTTTCGCTTTAAGTACCTAAATGATTTTCGTTTCGCAGTCACCGCAACATTTGGAGAGATGTTCATGTTCCGGATCGAACCTTTCGCTACTACCATCCCGATTCGAAGAGTTTAAACTTCGTGGCACTCATGGATGACATCAAGGTACCATGATCACCTCTCATGGATGTTATTTCCAACAAAGTGCAGGTCTACACATATATGCATCTTTATTTTAAAATAAATGTAGATATAATGAAGAAAAGACTTTTAAATGTGAACGATTTCTAAATTGTCATGAAGTTAAATATTTCCCTTGCAAAGATACTACATTTGCATATGCATACTCATTTTTGCTGCGTGGAACTTGCGTTCTATGGAGAGATTCAATATTTGCATACCTGTGAAAATACTATAAAATTTCTCAAGTACGAAATCAGTTATTGACTGCTTTTGTTTTGATGGTTCCTATAGAATGCACCAGATGGTTCTTTCTTCTTACTTCATCCTTGTGCCCATAACCCGACTGGGGTCGACCCTACTAATGAGCAGTGGCGAGAAATCTCATCTCTGTTCAAGGTAATGATGATAATTACATTGTGTTGAGTCATCATTTCTCTAATATCTATTGCTGCTTTTAAAATCCTTGCCTTGACTACTTTCTAGGCAAAGAATCATTTTCCCTTCTTTGACGTGGCTTACCAAGGGTTTGCCAGCGGAGATGTAGAGAGGGATGCCAGAGCAATTAGAATTTTTCTTGAAGATGGCCATTCAATAGGCTGTGCACAATCTTTCGCGAAGAACATGGGTTTGTATGGACACAGAGTGGGTTGTCTCAGGTCTGCCAATGTTCTTCACTTCTGTTTATATTTGGATGGATATATGTTTTACCTCTCTGAATTAGTACCGAACAAGTTTTGGTGTTTTAATATGGTTGGCTTGAAATGAACTTTATTTCCATGTCGAGATCACTCATTCGATCCAAAATTCATTAGAAGGCTAAGGTTTCAAGGATCACGTTGTGTTCTGGTTTGGTCCGTATTGTTCTTCAGCAATCTTACACTGCAATGATTGTTCCAGTGTTCTCTGCAACGACAAAATACAAGCAATGGCAATCAAGGGCCAGCTACAGCAGATTTCTAACACTATGTATGGCAGTCCACCGATTCACGGCATATCACTAGCCTCGAAAATCTTGAGTGATCCAGACATTAAGGCCATTTGGCTCAAAGAGGTCAAGGTATATATACTTTCAAGTTTCTTTTTCCGGTTCTGCACTTTCTTCAATTAACAGTATCACAAGGATGATTGGACTGACGCGCGTTTAATAATATCTACATGTTATAAGGTCATGGCAACTCGTATTCACCGAATGAGAGCTATTCTACGGGAAGCTCTCGAGAGATTAGGGTCTCCCCTCAATTGGCAACACATCACCAACCAGGTCAGTAATGTAACTAGAAATTTCTCCGATGCTGCTTGAAATGCTCCCTATTTTGCATTTTAACACATCAGAATATGCAAAATTGCAGGTCGGAATGTTTTGCTTCTCCGGATTAAATCGTGCTGAGGTCTATCTACTTGCAAAGGAATTTCATATATACATGACGCCTGATGGACGCATAAGGTATATTTATAATATAAAACATCGGTTTTGTTCTTGAAGGCTTGAGACTTGCTACTCTGTCATGCATTACTACCATTAGCTAATCCGAGCTTCTTGTTGCGATGACATTTGCAGCATGGCCGGGGTGACCACGAAGAATGTTGATTATCTAGCGAACTCTATTCATGAAGTCACCACATGTGATCAGGATGCCAAGATACTGCATAACACCGATGCATATAGGATTAACACTGATATTCGTTTCACTTCCCTTGGTGCCAGTAAATCAAGAGCTAGGGGAATGAATTTAAGCCTGTAATATCCCTATTATTCTTTTCTTATAGGTTGTACCATTTATATATGTTGCAGAAACATTGAAACATGTTAATACGAAGATAGGAACCTTTATCCATCCTTCATCCAAGTATTAAATGATGACACAGAGAGATCTGCAAACAATCAACCACCCCAAATTGCTTAACGACGATTTCTGATCTTTTCAAACCAGTAAATATGCAACAAAATCTTTAGTGTCCTTTCAAAGAGCATGTTCCCTTTGATAGTAGTTTAGAGCAGTGTAGGGTACAATAAATTATCATATGATAAAATTTGCAAAGAAACTGCACAACTGTACAATTTAATAATAACTAAGATCAGTAACTGATGAATCGGCATGCAAATGTCTATATGATTCAGTACCATGCATTCAACAGTTTTGGGTGGTTTCACAGTTTGATTAACCAAATAAGAGCTAAAACGCATACCTAGATTATTAGAGAGTAATTCAACACAAAACAACTGAGGATAGCGGTATCATCCACGAAGCTTTAACTACCAGGGCTTCCCTCTACCAATATCGAAACATAGAATCGAAGTTGGCGGTTCAATGGCTGCAGTATCTTCATCATTTGGATTCGAAAATCAGGTCCTCTTCTTGTCTTTCCCGGGGCTCATTGCAAGAAACATTGGTGAAGAAGAAGATGATGACGGTAAAAAATTGTTGGTTTTCTTCAAACTGATAATATTCGGGAACAATGACCGCAAAAGACCAGATCTTGAGCGCTTACTCTTGATGGATTTCTAGTTGAAGTTGGAGTAATAAGATGGAGGAGGGATATATGCATCGGAGACAGTGGATTTGGGAGTAACGGGCTGACATCCCCATATGAAAGGGACAGCAGCAGAGAGTCCATCATAATAGACCCTGAAAGAAGGATTGGCAAGAGAGTTTTCCTTGGATAATAGCCTGCAAAAGAACTTGTCATCTTGCTTGATTTCCAGAGTCTTATCATGGGGAAGATGATCAGGGGTTGTGTTAAACATCTTCCGATGTGTTTTCTGGGATTTCGGTGATCAGAGGGTAAAAGAGATTATTTAAAGGAAAATAATCCCAGAGACGAAGGAAAAAGCTTTAGGCTTGAAGATATCTGTATACCTTCTGGGTTATTTAGTTGAACTGAAAACAAAAAGGTGAAATGAGTTCGCATGATTTATATAGGAAACACTGGAATTTAAAATATGATTTTTAAAAAAATCATATCATTAACGTAAACAATGAAGTTTTGTTCCATTAAAAAGTTGGTGGGTTTCAATTATTGGCATTTTGCAATGACTTTCGTCTTCCTTTAAATTGAAGGTTTACGTTTCTAGCTCCATTGCAAAATTTTTTTAGGGTAAACTACACATTTAGTATATAAATGATTGCTTGTATTATGTTTTAGTACTCAAACATTAATTTTTTAAACTATATCAATCGTTTAGTTTATGTTTTATTTTGGTAAACCATTGTTAAAAAATTAATAAAACTGCTAATGTGACATTTTTATTTTCTTCAATAATGATATGACATTGTCTTATAGTGACACGTTAACATCACCGTTAAACTTTTACCGATGAGATTCGGATGCAAAAAACTTTTGAACTTGATCCCATAAATTCTTTAAAGAAATAATTTTGAACTTAGGAATGATGGAATAATTAAAGAAAAAAGTGTTAAAAACAAATCATCGAATCAACTTGTTTGATAAGATTACAAATGTTATCCTTATCAATTCAACACTACCAACTTAAAGTTAAACACCTACCTTTACTTTAGAAGCAAAAATAAGAAACTCAAAATTCTTTGGATAATTCTAAATAGTAACAAATTGTTATCGGAGAAATTTATACATGAGTATTTTTTTCTTGGTTAATTTATATAATTGTTTTCTATTTAAAATTTATTTCTTAAATTATTTTTTATATGTTTAAAGTTTAAATTATCAACATTTTTGTAACAAGACTCTTATTTAAAAGAAATCAATGATTCAGTTAGGACCACAACTTTAATCCTAATGACCACTTGAGCTATTTTAATTCTTTTTTCAATCGAAGAAAGAACATTCAACAATATTAGTTAAACAATCTAGATGTTTATAATCAAACCACACTGGAAAATTGCCATTATATGACCATTGCAAGGCTATGAGTAGCTACATTTCCGCTTCAATGCACGCACCGACACCTTACGTTATTAATTTACTTTAGTAATCTATGAGCCTTTTGAAGATAATGTCCCAAAATGGAGAAATATGGTCGTGGATTGGTTGCAATTTATTATATTGATGGTGTCGCCTTCTAGAATAATCAAGTTCCATTGGTGAGTTTCAAAAAAAAAAAAGTTCCATTGGTGATATATAGCAAGATGAAGCCCTTTGAGGAACGTCTGTGTTTCGGTAAGCTCTGCATCCGGTGGCCCTTGTATACGTCGTGCATGACCCCCATTACTATACGAGCAAGAACTCCAATAGCTCCTTCTCGATTTAGAACACTATAGGCACCATCAACATTTATTTTCACTTGATTCGAACTTGGTTTGCTCCGATGAACAACCCGTAGAGCTGGATTCAGAACATTGTCTGATGTTGCTGTGTGAGTTTTAAAATCCACGTGGAGAATCTTTACATTATCAAACACGACACAAGCTGGTTGAAGTCTTTCTTCATGCACATACGCATTGCGTTGATTCCATACATTCCACAAGATAACTATAAAACTTGTAAAACCATCCATATCGAACAACTTCAGCAATTCCTCTAATCAATTTCTGCAACTCATGCTTGCATTATGCAGAACTTAGCCACCAAAATTTAGTACTTCACCGTTACAAGGGCAGTCCCTTAAAGCATGAATCATGGTTTTATCGTCTTGCTCACACATTTTGCAAATCTACTCTTCTAGTCCTGTCGCCAGCAGCTTGCTTCCCGTTGGTAAAGTATCGTGACCAAGATGCCAACAAAACCGTTTAATTTTAGGTAGGGTGAATTTTTTTTTGATGTTGTTCTAGAATTTCTTCTTATCTGCCCATTCTTGAGGGACCTTGAAGCCAGAAATACTGGAATTTCGTTGAGTACACTCCCGAATCTGCATGTCCCTAAATAATAGTATCCCTATTAGTTGGTGCAATTATACAATCCATTATAGCAGCAACACCTACTGGAGTAAAAACTTGTCGAACTAAATCATCATTCCAAGAGCTGATTTCTGCACACATAAAATCATCACATCTCAAAGGATTTTCAACATCATCAACATATGTAGAAACAAATTGAATCTTTTTCTTTCCGCCCTAATGATCTTTAAGAATCCAAGCTTTTCTGTTGCAACTCACTTGCCAAAAGAATGTTTATCATCAAGTTTCACTTCTAGGACATTGCCACGAGAAAAAATATATATTTTGTCGAGAGAACCATATAGCATAGTGAATTAGTATCATGAATGAGGTGTCATACTTGTTTCTCAAGGAGCGTTGTGTTAAAAATAAATAAATTCTTGAAACCAAGACCTCCCTCCTTTCCAGATCGACATATTATTTCCCAAGCTACTAACGACCATCCTCTTTCGTTCGCCTTACCAGGGCACCGATAGTCACGCATGATAGAAATTATATTGTTAATTAGACTATCTAGTAGCATAAAGCAAGACATAATATACGTCGGAAAAGCTTGTGCCACTGTTAAAAAAAACTTCACGACCTCCGAAAGGTAAAAGACTCCTTGTCCAACTCCCTACACGTTTGCTAACCCAATCACATAAAATATCAAAAGCTTGTGTCTTGTTGCGACCAACTAGTAACTACATACCAAGATAATAGCTTGGATCTTTTTCTTCTCAAACATCAAGAATGTTACATATGTTTTTGCGGGTAGCACTACTAATATTTATACTGAAATAGACCATAGACATACCGTAATTTACCTTTTGACCCGAGCATACATAGTGAGAATTCCTTTAAGTCGTGTAACCCCCGCCGCATTTTTTTAAAGAAATGTCAAACTATCATCGGCATAAAGTGGATGGGTGCCTACGTGACTAGTATCCAACTATTAATTTTATTTTGATTATACTTGATGTTAATTTTTAATTTTATTTAAATAGAATTTCTGAAGTGATATTTTTTTATTTTATAATATGGTGTAACATTATCTATCAGTATCACTGCTAATTTTTTAATAATTGATAACCAAAATAAAATGATAAATGTAATATAAAAAATAAATGAATGATCAAAATATAATTGAGATACTAACGGTATAATTTACACTATTTTTAATCCCCTAAATCAGTTAACCAATTTATTTCAATTACTGGGACCAATAATTTGGATTCTAGTTATGAAAAACCTAATGTGACCTAAAGAAAAATTTGAATTTTAAGAAAGATATTATTAAACAAATTACTTTCAACAACTTAGACCATTAATTTGGATTCCAATTATGAAAATGAAAAACAAAAATCGAGTTTTAAGAAAGATATTAAATATTTAAAATTTCAATTCGAATTTTAAATATTTAAAATTTTGCGGAGAATTACCTCGAAAATAAATTTAATGAGAATCATGGGGAACAAATGATGATGCAACTCAACACTTGTCTCATTATTTGTATGTGTTTTTCGATCACAGATTGAGAATAAATCCAAAATTATATTTAAAAAAGTGATAAATTGGAAAATCTGCCACATTCTCCGTTAATAAAGAAAATAAACAAGTTATATAAGAGGAAAATGAAAATGACTAACAGGTAGGTAGTCGGTTTTCAAGAATAAATACATAATAATTACGAAAAACTATAGCAATTAAAATTAAAGTTTAAATCCGGGAAAAAGCATAATACAGGAACCCGGTCCGTGAATTGGGTCAGTTCCGATTTGTCGAACCATCAAGACAAAACGGACGGAGATTCTCGGTTTTTTTTTCTTCTTTCTTGGCTGGTTGTGTACATGTGTATGTACTACAACCGCCTGTTCTAAGATTCACGGCAATGACTTTACACATAAATTATCATCTACATTAAATTACCCAGAAACACGTTGCCTTGCTTACCTTTTATATACCAAATCGGAAAGTTTTGGCCATAACTTATCTTCCCAAATTTCATCGCTTGTGCCGACGTTAAAATCGCGGCGCTGCACCTCCACCATCGCCAGTTGTTCCGTCAACGGATGGATATCGACTGCGATGACAAAATTACCATTATGCCCTTCCAACCTTATCGCATTCTCTCTCTTCTTCTTCACTTTCACGTTACCCGTTCTACCGACCTCATCCTCGATTCTCTCAATGATTTTCTCCGGTCTCTCCTCCGATATAAACCGATCTCTCCGCACAGAAGGTTCGGCCTCGTCGAACAAGACGGAGAGGTCGAAACCCGATGAAAATGAGATTATGTCGAAGGCGTTTAAGAATTTCTTGCCCTGGGATTCTTCTTTGAATTCAAAATCTTCGTCGTGGAATTTGATTTCTTTGTAACCTTTCTTGAACCAAGGGTCGTTGATGATTTCATCCACGGTGATCCTCGTATCTGGATTCGGATCGAGAAGCCGGCATATGAATCGCCGGAGATCGACAGACGTCCATTTCGGGAACCGGAATTCGCCTTTATAGATTCGATGGTACATCACCATCAGATTGGGATCGTTGAACGGTAAATAACCGGCGTGCAGAACATACAAAATGATGCCACATGACCACACATCGACTTTGGCGCCGTCGTACCCTTTCTTCGCCAGAATCTCCGGCGCCACGTAAGCCGGTGTTCCACATAAAGTATGGAGGAGACCATCGGGTCGTATCTGTTCCTTCACCGCACTGAGTCCGAAATCCGTTATTTTTAGATTGTAGTTCTCGTCGAGAAGGAGATTTTCCGGTTTCAAATCGCGGTGGAACACTCCCCTCGAGTGACAATATCCGACGGCCGAAATCAGCTGCTGGAAATACCGACGGGTGAGATCTTCACTGAAACGTCCTTTGGCTATCCGCGTGAACAACTCCCCGCCTTTGGCGAATTCCATGACGAAATAAACCTTGGTTTTCGTAGCCAACACCTCGATGAGCTTGACGATGTTGGGATGGTGCAACCGGCGCATGATAACGATCTCCCTCTTAACCTGCTCCACGAACCCGCCTTTCAGAACTTTCTGCTTGCTCACGGCTTTGATCGCCACGCTCTGCCCCGTCCTCACGTTCCGAGCGTGGAAAACCTTCGCAAACGCCCCGCATCCCAGCAACTTCCCGATCTCGTATTTCCCGGACAGGGTGTTCGCCGATGAGATCACCGCCGACTCACTGATCGTGCTGTAACTGCTATTGTCTTCAACCTCGGGCATTGTTGTCAAACACACAGGAATAAATTTTATATGGAAACTTCAACGAAATACCATTAAAGAGATGATTATGGGATCATCCTTATTGTTTAAGAAAGAGGAAAGGAAGTTTGAACTGGAAATCAGTTACAGTGGACCATTTTGACTCGACTGGATGGCACGGCATTTTAAGCAGTTCATGAAGGGTAGATTGGGACTTTTCTTCATTTCAAATAAATGGACACCTTGATTATTTAATTTATTTTCTTTTTTAAAGCTTAAAAGTTACTGTCAGGGTACGGGTGACGCAACGCCAAGGACAAATTCAGCCACCCATGTGTCACATTTCTGTATATAAGCTTGAAAATTAGGCGATTTGACTACACTCTTTAATCGAATTTCTCTAATTTTAATATATTATATATTTCTCGAACCGGTCCCTTCTGTTGAGGGGTGAAAGACGTATTTTTAGGGAGGTGTTTTACTTGATTTTATGTTGAGTTGGATGTCACGTGTGAAAGACGTATTTTCGAAAACATGTTTTATCTTTATTCTACTAATTCAGTTGTTACGTGGTATTTTTTTTAATAATAAAAATTTTATTTTTATTATTTTTATAAATTAGTAATATATTATGTAAATTGTTTCAGTTATAATTTAATAATTATCGAATGTATTTTTTAAATGTGTGTTAAAGGTAGAGTGTATTATCCACATTAATCGGATAGAACAACAGATGAAAACTAGTTTTTATTTTATTATAGTTATATGAAAAATATATAAAATTATTATATTACACGTATGATTATATTATTATTTTTTGTTTTGATTATCGATTTATTAATTTTATCACTTAATTATTTAAATATTATCAATCTAGTCATTTGTTATTATTATTTAACTAAAATATTGATGCATAAGTTAATAAAATTAGTATAATTACACATTTAATCTGTTATTATTTTTATTATACATTGAGAAATTATAGAAAATACAATTACATTTAAATATTAGAAACAAAAACATTCATTTAAATAGAATATTAGGTTACATAAGGGTTAACGATTATGTGATGATAATAGAGCTGGACAATTTTTTCTATTGTGTCCGATGTTTCTACAATGCCCACATCATTTTTGTTCTGTTGACTTCTCCCGAATATCCATATCACAATGTATTCTAGTAGATTTTGGACGACCTGAGTCCTTCAATAGCAATGTATCTAGTGCAATTGTAAGCCAAATTTGAATCTCATCTGGGTCTCTTTCGTTTTCTATGGGCGGAAACTCAAATTTATATACCTTGAATACTTGTGAAAGTTGGTATATGGGATCAACATAATTTTTGTAATCCAAATGCGAATGTGAGCAAGCTGCAATGACATGAGAGCATGGATATTTAAGTGTTTGAAAGAAACCACAATCGCACCACCTCTCATGCAGATTAACTATGAAAGAGTTAGCTTCAATCCCTTGCAACAGACGTGTCATTTCAGTTACACGAAACAATTCAAGGGTGCGAGAAAAATTTATAACCAACATCTCATTTGATGCAACCACTTTTTTCTGTAAATCAGCTACTAGTCTTGGGTGGTAAATATGACCGTTTTGTATCCAAGTAAGAGCTTGTCCACCGAGCTTTGCAAAGAGTTGACCCAGAAGAAAATAAATCATTTTGACCAATGTTGTGACTGGTAAATGACTCCCCCCCTTTAAGGTTGAATTTATTGCTTCAGCCAAGTTTGTTGTCATATGACCATAGCGATACCCCCGTTATACGCATTTGTCCACATTTTCTTGTTGATGTCTATAATGTACTCGTACCCCTTTTTATTTTTGCCAAACAACTATTGTAGCATCAACTTATACCTTTGAGGTAAGAGTTCGTAACCTAAGCCATTAGGAATATGTAATATTTAATATGAAGTATAAATAAGTAATACGAAAATGATAGAAAAATTGGGGAAAAGTAACATACCCATCCGCACGACTAATTGACGTTCATCGTTCTTCTTGTATTTTCCGTAATAGTTTGCAACAATATGACGGACACAATAACGATGTTGAACATGTGAAGGTCTATACATTGTACCCAAAGAGTCCATTGCTGCTTTTATCCCGACTCCTAGGTCTGAAATAATGCATACTCATTCCCTGGTGATAACATATAAACGTAAATTTTTAAGGAAAAAAGCCCAAGACTCAGTGTCTTCTCCTTGAACGAGAGCAAACGCAGCGGGAAGAATATTGTGGTTTTCATCTTGGATCACAACCAATAATAAAATTTGCTTGTATTTCCCATACAAGAAAGTACCATCAATTTGGACAACTAGTTTACAGTACTTGATTGCATTAATATACTGAGGGTAAGTCCAAAAGACACGGTAGAATTGGAAGCGATCACGAACCACTCGATCATTCACGTAATGATGTTGAGTTTCGAACTTAACAATTGTCTCAGGATTGAGTCTTTGCACAACATGAAACCAACTGGGCAGCTCGTTGTAAAATGTATCTCATTCTCCATGAAGTTTGCAAATGGCATTCTGTTTTGCCAACCAAGCTTTTTTATATGAGACGGTGTACCCATATTGTGATTGTATAGCAGAAATCAACACTGCAACAGCTATATGAGAGTTTTGCTTCACAATAGGCATGATTGCTTGGCAAATAATGTTGGAGTCAAAGTTGGGATGATCCTTGTTTATACCTCTTGCACAACACGTATGAGGACTGTTATATCTGGTTAGTTCCCATAAGTTGTTCTTCCTATTCTTCTTTGATACACAAACCATCCATTGACATCCGTTGTCACGTTGGACGCAGTAGCAGACATATTTATCTGTGTTAGATCGATCAACTCGGGACTGAACTGAGTTACGAATATTGTAACTCTTTAATGCCATCATTGCTTCCTCCTTCGGTGCGAACTCCATTCTAATATGTAAATCACCGTCATTAACTGTTGATTGAAGTCTATAGTTGCCAACATCAGGAAGATCCAGAAATTCAGGCTCATACATTGCATCATAATCAGCCTCATACATATGTACAGGAAGATCGGCTGGTGTTGTATTTATCGGAACGTCATCCTCGTCATCATCAGAATGTACGTTAAACTGTGGTGAGTCAGGTTCAACGAATAATCCCGTTTCAGTACCATCTGCACCTGGCTCCCGAAGAGGTTCTTCTGGTGGAGATGATGGTTCCTCCGATAATCTAATGTTGAGGTCAAATAAGTTCCCGCTTGTGTGTCATCCCCTTGAACTTGAGGCCATTGTATAATGTGAGATGTGAATAAACTGCCGTCTCGTTGGCATTTCCATATGTAAGTCGAAAATATTGGCAGATGAATGTCTGCCCCTTGAAGTAGAAGAGATGTTTCCATATGGATTATTGGTGAAACCACGTGGGTTGAGATCATAAGCAGTTGCAGATGAATGCCTTCATACTGAACTTGATGACATTGCATCTGGTGTTGGATCTGCCATTAATGATGTGAAAACATTACAGATCAGTTGTGTCGGGCTATTAACTTGATCAGCTTGATATACAATGCCAAAGTGAGAGGAATATGAGAGACCACGAGAAGCACGAACCTCAATAAAAGACGCATACATTTCAATAAGAGATTGTGAACTTCCCATATGAGCATCAACCATCATAGAAACATCATCATCGCTTGAAAGCTGAAATGATGTATACGTGAGCGGAAAAAGTTTATTAGGAAATCTGTACTGAAGTGAAGATAATCTTCTCCGGCCTGCTACACGAATCTTTAACGAAATTTTTGTGATTAACTCCTCAAAAGTGATGTTTCTCTTCAAGGTTATGGGGATATAATGATCTGACTAAAAAACAACCCCCTCTTCAGCTTGTTTAATTTCTCTATCATACAAAACAACAGCAGAAAGACGACTCATTTTCAGAGAATAGATGATTGAGATTTTTGAGAAATTTAGAGTTTGAGAATTTCAAAGCTTGTGAACTGAAGTTTGTTTTGAAAGTTTATAATACGTTGCATATAATAGTGTCTATAACTGGGGTACTATTAACGTGAATGTGCGTTCCCGGGGGCGCGCATTCCATTATTTTGTCAGAGAATATGTTATCATTGCCCTATTATGTCACTTATATCCCCCATGAACTATTCATGTCAATACCTATTATTCCTTAAGGGACCGTGAAGGCCCATTCCCGGGGGGCGCCTTCCATTATTTTGTCAGAGAATATGTTATCATTACCCTATTATGTCACTTATGTCCCCCGGGAACTATTCATGTCAATACTTATTATTCCTTAAGAGACCGTGAAGGCGCATTCCCGGGGGTGCACATTCCAATATTTTGTCAGAGAATATGTTATCATTGCCCTATTATGTCACTTATGTCCCCCGATAACTATTCATGTCAATACCTATTATTCCTTAGGGGACTGTGAAGGTGTGTTCCCGGGGGCGCGCCTTCCATTATTTTATCAGAGAATATGTTATCATTGCCCTATTATGTCACTTATGTCCCCCGGGAACTATTATATCAATACCTATTATTTCTTAAGGGACCGTGAAGACGCGTTCCCGGGGGGCGCCTTCCATTATTTTGTCAGAGAATATGTTATCATTATCCTATTATGTCACTTATTTCCACCCGAGAACTATTCATAACAATACCTATTATTCCTTAGGGGACTTTAAAGAGCGTTCCTGGGGAACTATAGATGGATGGTGAAATCAGGTAAATTATAACCAAAATTTAACTTCTTTTGGAAGTTCAGCAAGTTAAGGATAAAATTATATATATAGATAAATTTAAGTCCATAACTTAAATTAAAACGTTATGTGAAGTTTGAATAAATTAGATAAAATGTTATGGATAAATTGAATAAATGTGAAGTGATAAGTTTATTGTGACATTGAAATTGTATGGAATGAGCATCGACATGTTTTTACGAATAAATGTGAAGTGATAAGTTGATTTTAATGTATACGTTTTAATATATATGTTAATGATAAAATCATATGTATTGATAAATTTAATTTCAATTTAAGTACTGTGAACTATAATTGGAATATAACTTTTAATTTCGAATACAATTGGAATATTAACTTGAATTTAATGTTAAATTTCGAATACTATAATTTAT